GTTACTTATAATCATTGTTGTCATGTTTGGATTAGTAAGATTTGGGAATCCACCCCTTCAGAAATGTAACCTTGTACTAAAATCAAGATTCCATGGGAAAATGACTGTATTTTTATCATTTCCATTGCCATAAAATTCATTTATTATTCGAATAAGTATATGGCTCTTAATTTAAATAACAGTTTTTTCCAAATTAATGTGTCCATTCATTCATTCATTCAATAGGAGTGATATTGCACAACCTAAATCCTGTACGTAGGAAAGAGCCATCTCTATTTTTGCAAAATGAAAATTACACACAGTTGTGTGTATTCAGTAGGTAGACGTGCAACAAGCATTTTTTTTTTTTAATTACTGAGTGTACCCAGGGCCTTCACCTTTGTTGTCCATTTCATCTTCACAACATTTTTGTAGGATTTATACTTAGAGTTATAGATTTATAACTCCTATTTAGCAGGTGAGGCAAATAAGGGTTAGAGAAGTGACTTACCAAATGTAACCCAGCTAGGTAAACGCTGAGGCTATGAGAGAAGAGAACACAGTAACCCTGACTCTAACTGCACTTTACTCCGGAGTTCATTTTTTTTTAAAAAATATTTACTTATTTATTTTGTGTGTGTGAGAGAGAGCTTGAGCAGGGGAGAAGCAGAGAAAAAAGTAGACAGAAAATCCCAAGCATGCTCCATGCTACCAGCGTGGGGCTCTAGCCCACAAACTGTTAGTTCATGACCTGGGCCAAAATGAAGAGTCAGACACTTAACCTACTGAACCACCAAGGCTCCTCCTACTCCTGAATTTAAATAGAAAGTCATAATGCTGGACACCAGACACGGCAATGTCAAGGTGGCAATGCACTTAATTTCCAGGAATCATATATTAAAATAATATTTTGGTATGCATTAAGCTTCTACATCTGCAGTGTGGGCCAGTAGATATATGCCACTGTTTGGGAAGTTTTTTAAGAAATAAAAATCACTGCGGATTAATAATAAGAAAGATCATCATTCACTATTGCATAGAGTTTACAGAATGTGTTAATCTGGTATCTCTTACACAAAGACAATAATTTTCTAAAATTGCCCAATATTTTACATTCCAACCATAGACACAAGTCTTTATATCTCTGGGTGTTTACTGACCTTGACAGTTTTGAGGAGTGCTAGTCAGGTATGTTGGAAAGTGTTCTCATTTGGCATTTTTCTGATGCTTTTTCTCAGGATAAGACTGGGGTTATCTCTGGGTTATTGCTCACAGTCTTTTTTTAGCCCAGTGTGAATGACTAAAGTCTAAGAAAAACATATGAGAAATCTGTATTATTGCTTTGTTTTTTTAATATATGGAACTTCTCCTATTTCCCAGAAAAAAAATTCTTTTTACTACAAAATCCTACTGATCTAAATGTCTTTTCATGTTTTCATAGCAGACACATTGTAATAGTTACAGATAATGTTTTCTTCTTGGGTTTAAATAGAGTGTGAAGGTAACTAAATAGCAAGATCAGGTATTTTGATGCAGATCAAAAACAATCGACCATTTATAGACTTCCTTTTTATTTTTATGTACTTTTTAAAAATTTTTTAAAAAGTTTATTTTGAGAGATGGAGAGAGTGTGAACAGGGGCAGGGCAGAGAGGGAGAGAATCCCAAGCAGGCTTCCCACTGTCAGAGCAGAGCTGGAAGCAGGACTCAAATCCCGGAGCCGTGAAATCATGACCTGAACATAAACTAAGAGTTGGACACTTAAGTGACTAAGCCACCCCGGAGTCCCTAGACTTCCTTTTTATTTCATTATTATTTTTTAAACTTTTTAATGTTTTATTTATATGTGAGAGCAAGAGAGACAAAGCATGAGTACGGGAGGGGCAGAGAGGGAGACACAGAATCCAAACCAGGCTCCAGGCTCCTAGCTGTCAGCACACAGCCCCACCTGGGGCTCAAACTCACAGACCCTGAGTCATGATAGTTTGGCTTGCTTCTCAGTCACCAAAATATTTGACTAGTACAGGATGTACAGTAGTAGATTTGACCATTCTCTTTGATATAAACCAATTAGGTCATATTTTTCCCTTCTTGGTTTTCTTGGCAACATCAAGAAAGAATTACCTTTTAGTTTGTCAAATTCAGTTTGACAGAAATTTGTGCATTAAGTTATTCCCTTTTTGGCATAAGCTTTCACATATTATCTTCAATATTTTTATTTCATTTGCATGAGAATATAATACCTGGTCTCAATACTGCAACTCTTAATACATAGAGAATTTGCTTTAATTTTCCTTTATGTCATTGACAGTTTACAAAACATGTCTGTAGAAAATGGCATTTTTTGGCTCAGATGTTGACTTACAGAAAATAGTACGTTCAAGAAATAGCACAGAGAAGAGCCATCATAAAAAAAAAAATCACAATGACTTATCTAACTCCATTCCCAAATGTGGCAGCAGAATGTCAGCATAAGTCCGTCATTGGCCCATCTATTACTGGTACGGGTCCTTTCTTCCCATCCATCATGCACGTGGAAGCCAAAGTAATCCCTTGGCTGCTCTTTCTATTCCAGCCCTAATTCATAAACAAGTAGAAAGAGGTAAAATATCTGCCCATTCTAAGAGAGTTTTTTCTTCCATATCTGGAATTAAAAGTTAAAATATTTAATTTCAGTTTGAATCACAATCTAATTTACTTTTTCAAAGGTAAGACGGCAGCACTTAATTTCAGGTAATTTCAGCTTCAATCATTTCCTTCAACTTTGGGTCTACGTCCTGAGCGTGTGCCGTGGACGCTTGGAGAGGAGGGTGGCATTGAGTTAAGTGCCATGCAATTGTCTCTCAAAAAGTCATTGTTTTATTTGACTCTCAAAGATCCGTGCTGTTGGTCACTCAGATGCCCCAGCCCTCTAGCAACCCAGTGTCCTTCTCCCTAATCTCCTGCTAAAATGGAAGTCATGGGAACCATTCTATTTCTGAAATAGCCTCATCTCTGTGTCCCTAAGATCAGCGACTTTGCACTCCAGGAAGAAGCCTCTCTTTTCTAGATACTCTTAAGGACTTTATTTTTCTGAAATTATAATCAGAAACCTCCTTTCCCCCTGCTTTTATCCTAGTAAAGTTGGATCTTGGTAGGAGGTCCATTTCTCATATTTTCCTATTTTTTTTGCAAGTGTTTGTTCTTAATATATATGTGGGCAACTTCCTTCCCCAAGTTTCTAGATGTTTTGTCTTACTTCCCAACTCTTTAAAAACTTAAATCTTTCGTGTCTTGTTTTAAAAGTGTTTTGAATGTCATGCGGTCTTATTTTCTTTTTTTTACCTTATGAGTTATTTTGTGCACTGATGGACATTTTTTACAATTAAAGGAAAAGCAGAGAAACTCACTATCTCAATTTCTTACAGTTAATTAACCTAATTACACAGAGGGCCCATTTTGGTCTTTATATGTGTTTTCAATGTGGCTGGAGTTTCTTTTGCCTTTGAAGCAGTTTTCAGTTGCACAAGCCTGAGGCTTTGTTTCTCCCATCCATCTATTGTTTCTTTGATAATCTGATCCCAGGTGTTTTCTATTTTCCAGTAATTTCTGACAATGTTTTATCTACAGAAGACAGACTCTTTTGTTCCTCCCCCCCCCCATCTTTTAGTGGATTATTGTCTGCATAGTATTTTGTCTTTTACTATAATGGATTTGACAGGAAAGGTGTGGGTAAGGGAGGGAGATGCGTATGCCAAATTCACCATCATGATCTAATCTATGAAGATTTTAAAGAGTTAGGAATTAGCAGAAAAATGTTCATTCAGATTTACTGCAGTAAAGAGCACCCGTAAATTAAAAATATGTGCATAAAGGCAAAGCAGTTTTTTAATGGGAAAGGTAAGGAACATCAATCACCAATGTAAAAATTCAGTGCCAATTTATTCATTCACTTAATAGTTTTTTAACAAAGGACATTTATCCATTCTCACTTAGTGGGAAAATACACTTATTTAATTCATCCTATTTATCACTTAAAAACGTTTTTCCCTTTAAAAATTTTTGAGCTTTGCAAAATTGATTATATTGCCTCTTTTTTTCCCTTAAAGTTTGACCTCTTATTTCTGTTACTTACGGTTAACCTTTACATTTAAAACATATTTCAACTCCATAACCTTTGTTTTCTTAACAGTGACGAAAAGGAACTACAGGATCTGCAAATTCTCTTCCAACCAAAATAAGCGTTTTAGCAGAGGAGGCAACATGAGGCAAAGCCAGCTTTCCTCTGGGTTGTGCAGGGAGCTGGGTTTAGGAGCGAAGGAGTTTCCTGCTGTCTCAGGCTAGCTCCACAACCCCCTCCTGTGGGAGAAAGCTCACTTTGCTGAGAGTCCTTCATGCAGTTCTAGCTTGAAGCAAATCTTGGAGCTCGGTGCTTCCAGGCCAAACGAAGTCCAAGGGTGTGTATTACACTGACCTTGCAATACATTTCTCAGTTAACTACTCACAAGCCTGCTCACACGCAAAGCCTTTTCTGCCTCTGATCTTGGGGTTAATACCTGCATTCGATTATAGTCCATTCTTTCTCTGTATCATTCATTAGTGGTTTCTGGAGCTCTGTTGGATTTTTATCATTAAGTTAATCCCATTTACGTATCTTCCAAAAGTTCCTAAATGCTTTGAGCTTCCCAGTTTTCTTGCTTTGCTGTCTCACACTCCTGTGTTTCTTCTATCATTTGAATGAATGTGAGTTCAAGATAAGGGTGATAGGAATGCATATATTTGGTCAGTCAGCTTCCCCTTCTGGACGTTTACAATTAAAAGCATCAGAAACAAAACACCTCACAGCACATATTAATGAAGATGATTTTATTGAGTTACAGGACAGCATACATAAAAACCAAATACGTGAGTATAAATTAACCAATTTTTCAAAACTAGAAATTTTAAATATTTAAAAGTACATTTTTACTAAGCGCCTAAATTGTTAACCACTTATTTATCATTTAGAATCTTTACAATTAAAGCAAATATTAGTTATGCACTGAATCCTCAAATAAGACAAATAATCAACTAAAGTTTGTTTTGAATTAAAACAAATAAAGGTCCTACTGAAAGAACAACTGTTGCATATTAAGAAAATATGTTAATTAATGTCCGTTTCCTTCCTCATTTCATGTTAAAGAATCATATACTCGCCTCTCTCCTGTCCTAAGAAAACATGAAAATCCAGTATGTAAAAAATCTTAAAGTTTGATCTCCCCTAACATGATTTGATCATAAAGTTCTTTAGTCAAGGGAACATAAGATCTTTTCAAGTTATCCATCAAATAGAGTTGGTCAGAAATTTTCAGTGGACTAAACCCTTCTTCTACCAAATGAAACTTCCGTAGTTTGAATGTCTCTGTTGTTTCCATATTCTCCTATAAAATAATGGCCAGAATTAGTGGGGTCATTTAACATTATCTAAAATATATAAACAAAATATTCAGTAATATAGACTACAATGTTTAATTATAACACTTTCATATCCATTGACCATCTCTCTATTTACTACTACTTATTCAACATTAGAAACTTTAAAATGCCCTCTAAAACAGTGGCAACTTACCTCTAAACTTTATTCATCCTATAAGAATTATGAAAATCGTCAGGTCACCTGGCTGTCTCAGTCAGTTGACAGTGTCCGACTTTGGCTCAGGTCATGAACCTGTGGTTTGTGAGTTCAAGTCCCACATTGGGCTCACTGCTGTCAGCCTGTCAGCAGGGCCCGCTTCAGATCCTCTGTCCCCCTTTCTCTGCCCCTCCCTCACTCGCACTCTCCCAAAAATAAATATTAAAAAGAGAGTTATGAAAATTGTCAAAAACTAATTACGCCTAATTATAAACATGTCTAAAACACACAGGCTTATCTCTTTAATTCACTGCCAGTACACTATGTACAGAGAATGTTATTAGACACCAAGAATATAAAAGCTATAAAAGAGAACATTCTATTCCATGAGGCAGAATTCATTAAAAACCAGAAGGGGTAAAGGATGATCTAAAACTTGGGTTGCCAGTCTCTGCATTGAGGTGGTTTGTGGTATCCCCGGTGAATTTCCAGAGGGTTCAAGGGATGTTTTGAATTTTCTAGGTAAACCCAGGGACATCTGTCGGTCACCACTCGCAAACTACTAGCTCAAAGTAGTTCACAGTTCCAATATTAGTTTGTGATACGTTCTTCCCAATGATGTCATGTCTTTGTGAAACACGGTTTTCAGTGGTTGCTGTGATAAAAGGCAAGTACAGCTGAAAATCAATGTGGGACAAGAAATTAGGCTGACCCTGTTCAGTCCCATCTAATCCCTGCATCTGAGGAGTTGTACGATGTCCAATTTACTCTCATTGGTACTTTGGTTATTTAAAAATAAAAGTGTTTTTTCTTTCAAATTGTATGGATTACTTTTTCAAACAGCAACTAATTTGTTAGACTTACGAATTTGTTTTGACCTAAATACTGAATAAATGGAAGTTTAGGTATTTGCTTGACTCAAGAATGCCAGGAAATATTTACTGAGACACTAAAGATGCCATGAATCTAGAAAATTTCAGAAGCTCTGCTTTAAGGGATTTAAAGGAGATAAAATGGGGATGCCTGGGAGGCTTAGTCAGTTAAACGTCTGACTTCGCTCAGGTCACATCCTCAGTTTGTGAGTTCCAGCCCTGAGTTGGGCTCTGTGCTGGCAGCTCAGATCCTGGGGCGGCTTCAGATTCTGTGTCTCCCTCTCTCTCTGCCATTCTCCTGCTCATGCTCTGTCTCTCTCTCAAAAATAAATAAACATTAAAAATTTATTTAAATAAAGGAGATAAAATATATCTCTTTGTGGCTGTTTCAGTCATGGAGAAGCAGCTTGTTTTAAATCAGATGACCACGTTGAGGTCCTTATAAAGGTTCTAGGAGTAATATGGCCATTTTTATTTATCCTTTTGAACTAATTCAAGAGTCAGGTTCTCTGTGAATCTTCTTCCCTGATCTCATTCATCCTTACTGTCCCCGCCCTTCCCCAATACTATCATCACAGAATTAGAGCTATGTAGAAACACATACTCTTTTCCTCATTTTTAGAAAATCAGAAGCTCACTATATTTATACTACTGATGTTCTCCCTTAAAAAAAAAAAAAAAAAAGGCTTTATAATGTGCCAGATAGATTTCCCCAGAATAGGTACTTTTTCATTAGGTAATGAAAAATGATTAGGTAATGGTTTAATAAGATCTCATCTAATTATATATTTTAATTAAGATTACTCTTATTCTAACATATAAAGAATATCACCAATTTTTATTGCTATAAATAACACTTTGAAGAGCATCTTTACATATAACACTTGTTCATCCTTGATTATTTTCTAAGGATACATTTCTAGAAATGAAATTACTGAGTCAAAACATATGTAAATTCTAAGAGTCTGATTATATACTTACCAAACTGTTTTCTAGAGAGATTATAACACTTTGTGTTTCTACAAGCAGAATGAAAGGACCATTTAATTTCACTGCACCCATACTGAGGAATACCATATAATTTTTTTTGGTAAAATTCATGTTTTAATTTGTGCTAAATGGACTTTGATAAGATTTTGATTTTGATAAGATAGTTGCTTTATTCATTTTGTCAGATGTGACTTATACTTTTTGCACTGCATCTATCATATCATTTATTAGAATTCATTTGCTAAATAAATATTTTGACTGCCAGCCAAGTGCCATGCATTGTGCTGACTACAGCAAATACTGTAATGAACATAACTGTCATGGCTCTAGTTCTTTGAGGTATTTAATGACACTAAAATATTTCCTAAGTCGGTCCAAGACTGATTTAGACTTCGAGAGTAGTTCACAGGTGAAATATTTCTTCTGCTTAATGAAAGTGGATTTTAAGTTGCCCCAGGAGAAAAATGTTTAAGATATTATTTCATCCATGAGCTGTGTACTCCATTACAATCCACTGTTTCTAGGGCAGTAGGGGGAAGCCAAGAGGGAGCTGGGTATAGTTATAAGAGGGAAACATGAAGAGTCCTTGTGGTATCAGGAATGCTCATATCTTGACTACAGTCAACGATGAATGAAGCAACATGGGTGATTAAAGTGCATAGACCTTAATACACACACACACACACACACACACACACACACACGTGCGTGGGAATATAAGCAAAGCAGGAAATTAAATAAGATGGATAGATTGTATCACTGTCGATGTCCAGGTTATAACAGTTTTCAAAAATATCATCGGTGGAGGAAAGCAAGTAATGGGTAGACACAGGATCTTTCTGTATTATTTTTTACAACAGCATGCGAGCCTACAATGATCTCTGCAAAGATTCCAGTTAAAAGGTGTTACTTCTGCTTCATATTTACTTACCTTTAGTATTTCAGAGTATTTTAGTGAAAATAATCTGAGGCAGTGTATGAAAAAAGACTCTTAAAAATAAAAAAAAAATTATGTAAATAAAATATGTATTTATGACCATTAAGATGATATGTCCCACTGGCCAAGTAGTGACAGGGCCACAAAGATGCTCAACAAATGCTTTAAAGATGAATATGAGGCCATCGAATGTTCCACTAGAGATGTAACAATGATGTGACAAACGTATCCAGAAAAGCTCTATGTGATTGGATGTTAAGACGGTAAGTACGATCTTTGGGTTCACAATACTAAATGCACGAATGGCTGAAAAAATGAGCAAGCAAATTGACATGGTAGCTAAGTAAACTTCTCTTCTTACTGTTTTTTATTCTAATAACCTAAGAAGAGAATGCCCAGCTCTCCAAATACGTTCAGAATTCCCAAAAGGTATAAAGTCCTGGCGGGGGGGGGCGGTTGGACAGAAGGAAGATAAAAATTAAAAGCAGAGGGGCGCCTGGGTGGCTCAGTCGGCTGGGTGTCCGGCTTCAGCTCAGGTCATGGTCTCACGGTTCGTGGGTTCGAGCCCCGCGTCGGGCTCTTTGCTGACTGCCAGCTCAGAGCCTGGAGCCTGTTTCGGATTCTGTGTCTCCCTCTCTCTCTGACCCTCCCCTACTCACACTATCTCTCTCTCTTTCTCTCTCAGAAATAAAGAAAACATTTAAAAAAAAAAATTAAAAGCAGAATTGCATTTGCTTTTAGGCTCTGCACACATCCGGCAGACACCTTGAGGTCAGCTTGGTGGGACGTGATGTTAGGCACAGAGCATCACCTGTCTTTACAAGGCTTGAGGGAAATGTAGTTCTGGCGTGCCGCCTTCTCTGAGGTCTTGAGTGAAGAGGAAGAAAACAATTCTATAATGAGGACAAAGACATCTTAGCATTTCATCATACTCCCTTCTATAATTAGGCTTTGAAGATGGCATAAATTAGCATCCCAATGCTTTGCAGTGTTCTTGAGATTTTCTAATAGAAATAAAATGCCCATAATATCTAAAAGATAAAATATTACTTTGTAAGGAGACCATCTCCTGGATTCCTGGTCTCGTAGTTCAGCTGAATCTTTACTCAAGCACAATTACCTGAATTCTGAAAGTTCAAGCAGTAAGATTACCTGAATTCTTAAAAATCTTGGGCAGGCATAAGCTGGTAGAAAAGATACAACTTGTTCATAAACTTTGTCCAGGTCTAACGACCTATTTGGTTTTAAAATAATAGAAGCCATTCCTGCTTTCCCTTCATAATCTGAAAGAAAAATAGTTTGAAATAGCATTAATTTTACAGGCACTAGGCGATTTTTAAAAGGGTCCTGTTAATTACGTACTAATAGTTGCAAATAGCAACATTAATCCTGTCACAGAAATAACAATGAAACAGTAGCATAAATGAGTGGGTCCTTCTTTGAGCATAAGATTTGCTCCCCAGAAATAAGTTAGGAAGAGGGAATGGTAGAGTCTATTCTTAATCATCCACACCACGTAAATGAAATAGATGGAGTAGAAAACACCATAAGTAACCCCTAGTTTACATCCTACCATCATTAATATAAAATATTAAGAGGCAACATTTATTTACAGGTGAATATATTCCAGACAAATGTACATGTTAAAGGCCAATGCTAAAAATAACAGACAACACTGTTTTTAAATTTAAAAACTAGACTGGTATTCCCATAACTAATTCCACAGATCACTTACTGCCACCTAATCATGCCACCTACGGAGTTTTTCAGGTAATTAGAATCTCCTATAGCTTTTCTCTAGCACCCAATGTCTGCCTGTTAGAGTAAATATCCCCTTCGTCTGCCTCCTATTTAATACTCCCACCTCATGTGTCCTGGGCACCTACAAACATTAGTTGAAAAACATTGTTGTTTATCAAAACAGAACAAAAGAGTCAAGGGGCATAGCGAATCCTATAATTCTAAGTTGGTAACTTTTCTATGTTCTTTTTACCATCGTGAGAAATCCTCTCCTGCATACTTTCAAACATAAATGAGGCCAAACAGATTTTAAAATTATTTTTGAAGAAGACTCAACTTAGCTACAAGTTAGTGTCATAAAACTTTTAAACTAGAACATGTCCCTGTTTAGTAGCATGTATAAACTCTAGTCATAAAGAGAACAATAAACTATGGAAAAGCTGTAACTATTTTCGAGCAGTGAGTCACTGACCAGAGCGATCAAGCTTTACCTAAAAATATACACAGACATTGAAATTAAGTTGGTACCTGATGTGACCATGAAATTTCTTAGCCTGCTCTAGAGCATTACTTGCCAAGGCGAGCCTAAGATACTTATTGTAATTGATAAAAAAAATGAAATGATGCATTAGTAAGATCACTGCAGAAGTACAGAAAAGTGGCACATTCTATTCGGAGAATTCTTCCCAAACCGGAAATATATTCGTACCTGGCACCGCCACCCCATAGACGTTTGTTTCCTGTATGAAATCCAACATTCCAATAACATCAGCAACCTCTGTGGTCGCAACATTTTCTCCTTTCCACCTAAATGAAAAACAAGTTCCAATTAATGCACCTATATTTGAAGAAGTAGGCATCCAGTTTTAGTCGTAGTGCCTTGTGTTTGGCTCTATGCCAGCACCTAGTAACAGAACACAATGGCAGTTTTCAGAACGAACGGAAGGCATGTGCAAGGGAGCACTTTGTTGACAAGTCAATAAAACCAGAATCAGTGTTTTCATTAAAATTACTTCATCTGTATACATTGGTTGCTGTAAAGTGTTTTTCTATAATATGTCACAAAAGGATAAGAATGATAAACCTCTCTATTTTCAGATGTATTAACACTTCACTACATAACATTCCCTGTGTCTAATGAAAGAGATAGAAAAAAGTGAAAGGAAAGCTATAGTGGCTGTGCACGTACTGACCTAATTTCTAGGGATTAACCCCTTTTGCTCCTCAAATGCCAATGAATATTCTTTTTTTAATTTAAAATTTTCTTAATGTTTATTAATTTTTGAGGAAGAGAGAGAGACGGAGTGCGAGCAGGGAAGGGGCAGAGAGAGAGGGAGACACAGAATCCGAAGCAGGCTCCAGGCCATGAGCTGTCAGCCCAGAGCCCTTTAGGGGGCTTGAACTCATGGACGGTGAGATAATGACCTGAGCTGAAGTTGGACGCTTAACTGACTGAGACAACCGGGTGCTCCATGAATATTCTATCTCAATTAAAATAATTTTACATATGTTGAGCACATTACATGGTACAAGAAAGTGAGGAAGTAGGAAGTATGACTAATTTATTCATTCAAACATTTTTTTGAATGTCTTCTGTATGTTCTTCACTGTTCTATAATCATAGATCATGAGTGATAATTTCAGAAGCCCAAAATAACCTTAATTAAGAAATGTAAAAAAGATAAATTCAGCCGTTTTATTGTTTTCATCATTATGTCAAGAATCAGACCGTATTTGACCACACTGGTTTCTGTTTCAACCCTGCCATTTAAACACTATATCTGTCTATTTTATGTTCTAATGAAAGGAGCTCACTGATTTGGACCACAAATGATAAAAACTGACATCAAGATTTAACTTAGGTTTTAATCTAGCAACAGATGGCCAATGAATTTTTAAATGAGGAGACATTATTGAGATCAAAGCGCTCTGCCTGCCCCCACGGGGTCTATAATGTTTCAAAAGAGCTGCCTTGCTGAGAGCATGGTTCACAGTCACAGAACCAGCAGTACAGCCGAGGATATTTCATACCTGAAAGTGTCTCCAATACGGTCCCAAAAATAAAGGAAATTCTCCCGATCTTGGACCATTAAATCTCCTGTGTTGAAGTAAACATCTCCCTTCTTAAAAACATCATAAAGCAGTTTCTTTTCTGTATGCTTCTTATCCCCAGCATAACCAAAGAAGGGCTTCTTCTCATTCACTCGAGAAATGAGAAGTCCAGGTTCTCCTGGGAGAGAAAGGCATTTTTCAGTTATTTGATGAAAATGATTATTACACATATCACGCACGTACTTGATATGTGACCAACCCAAACCAGTGCTGCTGATCTTCCCCTGAACTTATTTTTATTATATTTGACCTCATTCACTCTGGGTGTCTGCATCTAGCAAATCCTTTCACAGACTGTCACGGACACAAATTACTTTGGAACAATTAATGAAAAGGAAACCGAATGTCAACAAAACCATATTAAATTCATTTTACATCCTGTGTGGATAAGCAAAGGCTACTTTTCTTTTACGTTACATAGATTTTTAACACTGAGAATAATGACAACCATATAAATAACCACAGTAACATTTTAAAGAAGATTATGATCGCAGTGATATTTATCGGGCATGTACTTCGTAGCAATCCCCATGAGCCCCTTGCAAATGTTATCCTGTTTATTCTTCACAGAAAGCCTTTGAAATTGATCATCAAAATCCCTATTTCACCGGAAAGAAACCATGGCCCAGAAGGGTGAGGTAAATTACCGAAGACCAACCAACAGATGGAAAAGAATGGACCTAGAACTCAAATTTAAGGCTACAATTCTGCAGCATGGTTTCTGTTCAATTCTATCTCTGGTCTACAAGTTATTAGAAGTTTAAGAAAATGTTTTATTCTTATGGAATGTTGTCTGGATATCCTCAATGAGCAAAAGATGATGCACAATAGTTATTAGCATTACTTATATTTAGATACATTATTTGAAAAAAAGAATTTTCAATCAGATTTACTCAAATTAATCAGGGTTGTGCGCAGCAAGCTGCACAGTAAAAAATTTCTTCTACTATGAGAAGGGTAGAAAGCAAAGGGAAACAGCAATCACTGCCTGAGAAAAAAATTTTTAAATGTTTATTTATTTTTGAGAGAAAGAGAGAGGGAGACAGGATCCAAAGCAGGCTCTGTGCTGAGAGTAGAAAGCCCGATGTGGGGCTTGAACTCATGAACCGTGAGATCATGAGTTGAGATGTGAGATCATGACCTGAGCTGAAGTCAGATGCTTAACAGATTGAGGCACCTAGACACCCCATCCCAGAATATTCTAAGGCCATTGTTGACTTGCTATAGAGAGAGGCAACATCTACATGAATTGATTAGATGGGGTTAATTCCAGCACACTGTAAAGTGATTCATAGTATTTTAACATTCTCTATTGAACTCTTGTTGCTTCCACTCCTTCTGGACATCCTGGCTTCCAAAGGCATATATACCACTGGCAAAACCACACCTGCTCCACTGAAGAGGCTCCTGGTTGCCAGTGTCATCAATGACACCTTCATCTTCATCATCTTCACCATCGCCATTGCCATTGCCACACTTTCCGAGCACTTTCTGGCTACGAGTCATTATTCTGAGCACTTTATTTTATGTATTCCATTTGATTATCATCACAAACCTATTACACAAGCCCTCATATTATCTCCCTTTCAGAGGTGAAGAAACCAAGAAAGAGAAAATAATGTGCCTAGTGTCACACACTTGCCAAATGTTTTTTTAGGCGGGGTTCATCTGACTCCTAAGTCTGTCTTCCGTCACATATTCCTTCAGTCTACAAATCCTCTATTTCATAAATTTCCAAGCTTCTCTTATTTCCCTTAGGATCTGTGTTCTTTTTATTTTTCTTCTTCAAGACACAGGTTGATAGTTTCTTCCCTGACAAAGTAATTATTGCAAATGCTTAAAAAAGATTATAGGGTTTCTTCTATCTGTTCAAGGCAAATGTATGCAAGACACAGTATCATTAATGGAAAAAAATACTGAACAATTCATAATGAGAACTGTAAAACACTAAAGCAGATGTTTGGGGACAATCTGCTTTTTAAGAAACCCTGAGTTCACATACACAGTTCTTATATAAGTAGTCCCAATGTCAGATATGATTGTAATTGTAATAAATAAAATACACTAGGGGTGCTTGGCTGGCATGGTTGGTGGAGCATGTGACTGAATCTTAAGGTTATGAATTTGAACCTCACATTGGGTACAGGGATTACTTACACAAATAGAATTGTAAAATAAATAAAATTAAAAAAAAAAACACAAGGAAAGTGTGCGTTTATAAAGGCCTTTGCAATCATTTTAGAAATGAATTTTCTCTTGGACACAGCTTACAGAGTTGAATTAGGGAAAGATATTTTATAAATGCCCTTAGGCTTGAAATTCAGAGGAGAATGAAATTTGTGTTTTGATAGATAAGGCTTATATTCTTTCCAAGCTTTCGGCTACCAGAACAAACAAACCAACCAGGCTTGCAACCTTTATCTCCATATTTGAAGTAACAATTTAAATGAAATCATCTCTGAAATGTAGTCTAAGCATATTCTGAGGCGGCAAAATGTAATTTTGGCCTGATTTATTCAGACTGAATGTCTAAACAATTCCAAATGCAGATATCTACATTTAAATTTCTAGACTGATTATATGCAGCAGCAAGTTAATTGGGGCAGTTGCTTTTATTAACATGTCTAACCAAAAATTATCAGAAAGTCTTCCTCGGGGGAGGAGAGGAGTGAGTGGGGGAATAGAAGGGGGGAAGTAGCAAGCCACACACCAGGCTCTCTGTAGAGTTCTACACATATCATGCCATTTAATTGTGAACAATAACCTCATAAACAAATATTGTCACCTCTACTCTACATACGAAGAAAATAGTTTCAGCCTGAGTGGCCTGCCCAACGTTGGACAGTTTCTAAGTGTGAGAGCCCACATTTAAATCTAAGTCTGCCTGACTTTTCACTATACATAGAATGATAACTAAGGCATTCTTTTTCACATTATATCTTTGTCATATAGGACATTAGTGCCACTGTAACAACTAGACATGGTAGACTGAGAAAAATATAAGCCCAGGAGCACCTGGGTGACTGAGTTGGTTAAGCATCCAACTCTTGATTTTGGCTCAGGTCATGATCTCATTGTAGTAAGACTGAGTTGTTTGTCGGGCTCCACTCTCTCTCTTCTTCTATCTCTGCCACCCCTCCACGTGTTCTCTCTCTCTCTCTTTCTCTCAAAATAAATAAATAAACTTTTTTTAAAAAAAGGAAATATGAGGGGCGCCTGGGTGGCTTAGTCGGTTAAGCGTCCGACTTTCGCTTAGGTCATGATCTCACGGTTCGTGGGTTCGAGCCCCGCGTCGGGCTCTGTGCTGACTGCCAGCTCAGAGCCTGGAGCCTGTTTCAGTCTGTGACTCCCTCTCTCTCTGACCCTCCCCTGCTCGCGCTGTCTCTCTCTCTCTCTCCTAGAAATAAATAAAACATAAAAAAAAAAAAAAGGAAATATGAGTCCAGTAGTAATCTGTTCTAAGTTTCAATAACTTGGGGCATCTGGGTGGCTCAGTTGGTTAAGTGTCCAACTTTGGCTCAGGTCATGATCTCACGGTTCGTGAGTTCAAGCCCCATGTCAGTCTCTGTGCTGACAGCTCAGAGCCTGGAGCCTGCTTTAGATTTTGTCTCCCTCTCTCTTTGACCCTCCTCCCATTCATACTCTTTCTCTCTCTAAAAAAAAAAAACCTAAACATTAAAATTTTTTAAATTTCAATAACTTACTATTTGAGTGACCCATTTGAGACCCCTAACATCTAATAATTAAACTCTTCTTCCTGCACTGAAATTCCAAACAAGTCCCCTCACATATTACTAATAGCCATTCATTCTAAATTCAGTAGTAATTAAACAGAAATTCAGAAACGTTGCCTGAAGGGACATGGTCAAATGCAAGCATCTTACCTTTTTTCACAGGAGTACACCAGCCCTGTTCATTTCTAATGGGTTCATCTTTCTTAAAATCATACTTTATCATGTCAAAACTGAATAAAAGCTGCCAAAACAAAATTAAACACACAGTAAAGACAAAAACAACAATGAAATATTCCTTTGTGCAGTGACATCTGCTGGTGATGGACTTTTTGTTCAGTCAATTGAAAGTAAGAATGAGAAAGTAGATTTATTCCTATAACTAAACTTTACTGAAAAAAAATTAAATATGTATTTGAAACTCAAAACTGAAGGCAATAGTAAATAGCACTCATATACTGGCATTTACTTCAATTTCATTTTATGTTGCACATTTTCTTAGCAAAATATTAATTTTATTCTTTAATGAGTGGTATCAAGCCCTCATTAACATTCTGGCAGATTCCAGAAGTTCCCAAACTGCATTTATCGTTTTGGTCAAACAAGAACAGAGCCCTGTTCATTACCAGTCTCTTTTAACATGTTTTATATTTTGAAAACTTTCCTCCGGAACTGTTGATATCAGCAGTAGTGTTATTTCTTTTAGATTAATTTGTCAACCACATTCATGGATGAGATTCATTTTACACCAAACCACCATTCAGTGTGCCTGTTATCACATATAGAAGACTTGCAGGTCACAAATTGGGTAATTTTATCATAGGAATGAAATTTAAATATATAACAGCATCTTGACATAGTCTGTGTCTCAGTATTAAGTTTTAGCTAGAGGGAATCCTATTTTTTTCTTACCTCACAAGATTATAAAAATGGCTGTGTTATAACAACACAAATAAAGAAAATAAATCCTCATCTTAAATTTTTTTTTTTAAGTTTTCTAATGTATTTACTCAGAGAGAGAGAGAGCACAAGTTGGGGAGGAGCAGAGTGAGAGGGAGAGAGAATCCCAAGCAGGCTCTGCACTGTCAGTGCAAAGCCCGATGTGGGTCTGGAACTCACAAACTGTGAGATCATGACTTGAGCCAAAGGCAAACACTTAACCAACTGAGCCACCCAGTCGGCCACATCCCCACTTTAACATCCCCTAAATGTATATGTGCGCACATAGGTATAGGTACGTGTATTGAGAGCAAAGGTGCATGGGTCGCATTCGTAAAAGATGAGGTAAACAGGTCCCCACCACTGTGAAGCACACACCTGTGGGCTGTACACACTGCCTCAGAGTTCCCATACACATCTGTGTGCTTTTGTATATTCACATTTGTAAACTCAGAGGCTGGAATGGAAATACAGAAATCATTGCCTCTGTTAATAGAGATTGATCTTGTTTGTTTTCTGACTTCTCCCAACAGAATATAACCTGCACATGAACAGGAATTTATGTGCACTGTGTTCACTGGGTTCACAGGGTCAGGCATACTGAACACTTTTAATAGATTGTATAAAGGAGTGCAATTGATGAGTATCGTTACAAATGTGTTTAAATTGATAGAAAGGGAGGAAACTGATTAGTCAAATATAATCTCTGAAAAATGAAACCACACCAATTTAGGAAATGAAATCAATTTAAATTTCCTCGAATTTATTAACCAATGAAAATGGAACTCAAGTTAAATTACAGTGTTTCTTTAGTGTAAGAGACCTCAGTCCCTGTGAGGTAAAGCATTTAACCTTGACCTCAGAATTTAACCAGAGGTCTGGCTTCACTCTCAGCTTCTGGCAGATAATCTCTATGCCCCTGCAATGCCATGGCCAACAGGAGTGTATTCTTAGCCTCAGGCCGTTTGGCATTCGGATAGTGACAATATGAGTTAGATTTAGTGTCCCTGAACCACACTGATAATGTGATGTAGAGTTGGGGCTTTGGTCACCTAGCTTGACCTCTTGAGGGACTGAAGATGGAGGTCAGCCACAGAAGCAGCCAACTATATTTAAATTGTGGACATCAGGGCTGGTGAGTTTCCCTAGCAGGCAATACTCCATGTACACTGTTACCCGTCAATTCCAAGAGAGTAATTCCTGTCCCCACAGGAAAGGGGTAGAAGCCTTGCATTTGGTGCCCTCCAGATTCGGCCTCACTTCTTCTCTTTCTGAATCCTTTAGATCCTTTAGATGTCATAAACAGTAATTATAAGCATAACGGCTTCCCATGAGTTTTGTGAGTACTTAATCAATTTTCGAACCTAGTCTATAAAATACATCTACTTTTGGGGCACCTGGGTGGCTCAGTTGGTTAAGCAACTGACTCTTCATTTCGGCTCGGGTCATGCACAGTTCGTGGAATCAAGCCTCGCATTGGGCTCTGGGCTATCAGCATAGAGCTTGCGTGGGAGTCTCTCTTTCTGCCCCTCCCCCACTCTTCCTCTCACAAAATGAATAAACTATTTTAAAAATACCTACTTTTAAGATAATAAAAAAGTTTAAAGAGATGTGAAGGAGCCTTTTATTTATACTGTATTTATGGACTTACTATATAAGATGAGAGAATTAGATGAGAGAGTATTTCTGCCTCTGCTCCCACCCAATTCCCATCATTATTAGTCCTATAATTATTTTTATATTTATATTTATTTACTTTATATTTTATATTTAAATTTATTATATTTATATATATCATATTTATATATAAATCAGGATTTATACTTCAATTTCATCTGTAAACATAATTTGAAGATGTTTAATCTTCTATATTTAAATGGATTTAATCAGTCCTTTTAACTGAAGATGATTCCTTCATTTCTAAGTTCTGCTTTGTCTTCAGGGTGACTGGACATTTTCACTGAGTGAGTCTGATTTAAAAGTACTGCATTCTTATTAATAGATGGGTATTATAGTCTCTGATTTCTTAGCATTGTGAGAACACCTCTTTATACTCAAAGAACAATGGGATAAGAAGTAAAATTCTTAGGTGAATATATTACTTTCCTTTTTTGTTTCTTCTCTGGCACTGAGTGATTTGTCTTAATTTTGAGAGATGCCGGAGCTGTTTTGCATCTTCACCCCACACTTTATTCAACCTGTTTTCTCTGGCTCAGCATCTCCTTAGAGATCTTTAATTTGTGCTCAGTAATTTTACCAGCATATATTTTTCTTTTTTTTTAATGTTTTTTATTTTTTTCTGAGAGAGACACACACAGTGTGAGCAGGGGAGGATCAGAGAGAGAGAAAGAGATAAAGAATCCAAAGCAGGCTCCAGGCTCTGAGCTAGCTGTCAGCACAGAGCCAGATGCGGGGCTCAAACCCACGAACCGTGAGATCATGACCTGAGCCAAAGTGGGACGCTTAACCGACTGAGTCACCCAGGCTCCCCTTACTAGCATGTATTTTTCTGATGATCATCCTGCACCAATTTGTTTGTTCCTGGGACATACTGTGCTCTTTTGCTAGAGATTCAAATCTATGAGGTTTTCCTCTATTAGGTTTCAATAAAAGTCTTCTCTTTGATTTTTTTTTTTTCTGCAGGAACACCCATTAGCGTATGTGAGATAATTGTTTATGCTTCCAAAATCTGTCTTTCTAATTTATTTTATATGCCTATTTGCTTATTCTATTTATTGTTTGTGTACTCCTTAATCCCATCCATCTTGCCTCCAGCAATGTTTACAGCCTGTAATGTGGTGTTCACCTCTGCAATACTTTCATTTTCCCTTTTATTTTTTTTATTTGAACTGAGTATGTCTACTTTCCAAGTCCTTTTGTTGATTTACATTTCCCTTGAACTTTCGTCTCTTGAGCTCTTATTTTTAAAGACAATATTATTGTAATTTTTGAACTTAAGGGAAACTGTTTTTCTAAACATTCCCTGGTCATCTTGGAAGATATTATTTTCTGTGCATCCATATTTTTTTCCAGCTACCTTTTATTAAGATTTACTTCTCTCTATTTTTCAAGTTTTATTTTCTCTATGGACTTCATGTTTGTTCCTTCCCAATTATGTGATCCCTGGGTGTAGAAAAGGAAAAGCTAGTCCTCTGCTGTTATTCGGGTTTGTCTCTCAACTGCACTGTCACAAAATTTGTATAGTGTTTGCTCTGAGGTCATAAAGGGCATACACAGCCCTTTACCTGTGTGCTTTTAACTGGTAAGTATGGCACTCAAGAAGGACACTTAGGTCACAGGAAATCTGTGTTGATGCCTCCTCTTTTTCCTTCTCTATTAATATACCATCTCTGTTTAGAGGCTGATTTGTCTCAGACAGTAAATGGAAGCCTCCATGATATTTAAATTTTTGAGAGACAGGCTTATCAAATCTTTCCACATGCTTATAAAACAAGCTTTGGTCCACATTTTTCTGATTCCCTGCTATGGAACAAAATAATATGCACATGAAATGAGAAAAGATAGAGTAGAATTCGTATCACACCAGGTACAATTTTTTCCATTTACAAACTGAAATAACCTAAAGTAAGTTTCCAAATCAGTTGGAAACAATCTGGACTTCTTGCTTTATTGACAGCATTACTGTCTGACAGGGAATTTAAGACATTATAAAATTATAATGAAGTCAAGCCAGTAATGTAAAATACAAAACTTCTTCATTGTGCTCCTGGTGGATGATTACTTTGCAATGACTCAGCTTCACGAAGGAGCTTTAATATGAATACCACATTTTTAATGGAACCAGTGCAATGAGTTGAGAAAATTAACTGGAAGGAGTGTAAAATTCGGTAAAATCATCACTTATTTTTCCAAAATTACTTTTCAGAATGTAGATGCATTTCTATGAGGTCAATAAGACCCTCAAAATCCCAAAGAGTGAATCATCAAAACAGTTTGTATCTTCTCGAGGTCACAAACATCAGAGCAATTTCTACCAGCTTTGAATCTGTTTTTACTTTTTAAAAATCTTATGTTTATCTCTTTTGACACTCCACGCTAAATGTTTAATTTACATTTCTTTAATTTATGTTCTTGATTACCTCCTTCTTTTTTTTTCTTTAGGTTTATTTCAGTTGCTTTTTATTTACTTAAAAAATGTTTTTTTAATGTTTGTTTATTTTTGAGAGAGGGAGACAGAGCATGGATGGGGGAGGGGCAGAGAGAGAAAGGGAGACCCAGAATCCAAAGCAGGCTCCAGGATCTGAGCTGTCAGCATAGACCTGAGGAGCTGTGAGATCATGACCTGAGCTTAAGTCAGATGCTTAACTAACAGATCCATCCCAATGCCCATCAGCTGCTTTTTAATTAATCCCCAGAAATGGATATTTAGTTCACAAATTTTCAACCATTCTTATGTGAGTCTAAAAATTGTGAAATATAATGCTTTCATCTTGATTCAGCTCAAATTACTTTCTAACTTCGATTACATTTTTGTTGTCTCATTGGAAATTTATAAATGTTTTATTTCCAAATATATGGGAGATGAAAGAGCTGTCATTTAAAATGTTTATTTCTACTTGAATTAAACTGAAACATCATCTATATTCAATCCTCTGAGATTTGCTGGAATTCCCTAAGTGGCCCAGTAATCTTTGTGAACATTTCATAAGTGCTTGAAAAGAATGGGTGTTCTGCAGTTTTTTCAATTTATTTTTATTTATTTTTGGTAAGCTCCATAACCTGTGAGGACCCCCACGCACAGCCCCATGCTGGGCTTGAACTTACGACCCTGAGATCAAGACCTGATCTGAGACCAAGAGCTGGACACTCAACCGACTGGACCACCCAAGTCCCCCTACTGTGTAGTTTTTAATGTTTTTTTTTTTAAATTTATTTCTGAGAGAGAGATATATATAGAGAGAGAGCGTGAGCAGGGGAGGTTCAGAGAGAGGGAGATACAGAAACAGGCTCCAGGCTCTGAGCTAGCTGTCAGCACAGAGACTGATGCAGGGCTTGAACACATGAACCGTGAAATCATGACCTGAGCTGAAGTCAGACGCTTAACCGAGTGAGCCACCAAGGCGTCCCTACTCTGTAGTTTTTAGATGCAGTATCCTATATATATTCATTAGTTCAAGTAGTTTGTTGATTGCATTATTCGGTATCATTGCAGATTTTCTTTTGCTTATTCCTTCAAACACTGAAAGAGCTATAATATCCTGCTATTATTCCAGCTTTATTTTGTTTCCACTTGAGGTTATATACATTTTGCTATATAAATTTAGAGACTATTTTCCTTATGTTCACTTTTATTCTTCAAAAACATTGGTGAGTATATATAGGGCGACGGGGTTAAGCTTCTGACTTTGGTTCAGGTCATGATCTCATGGTTTGTGGGTTCAAGCCCCGTGTCGGGCTCTGTGTTGACAGCCCAGAGCCTGGAGCCTGCTTTGGATTCTGTGTCTCCCTCTCCGTCCCTACCCTGCTTATACTCTGTCTTGCTTTCTCTCAAAAATAAATAAAAACATTAAAAACCTTCCTTTTAAATAAAAAAATATTGGTGAGTATGAACTGTATTTTGACAATGACTTTCTCCAAACCAGCTGAAGACATCTTTCAATCTTGTTTTCCATGAGTGCTACTAAGAAATCAGCAGGAATTACTTTTACTCCTAGATAAGTGATTTTGGGGACAGCCTTTGAGATTTTGGCAGTATCTTGATTCATTAGAAGCCTGTACATAATTTTTAAGTGATATAAAAATGAAGAGTAAGCAGAAATACTGCATTGAAAATATTCAGGAGAAATGGAAAGAGTCAAATTAACATGTATCAGAAATTTTCCTTGTTGTTTGTACATTATATCATTAAATTTGAAAACATAAAAAAGATTTACGTATCATTATCCCCACATATAGAGGAAAACACGCGAGATGGTTGATGTTTTCATAGTCCATGTTCACCTAGAAGCCATTACTTTACAGCAGTTCTCAACTTAAAAAAAAGAAAAACAATGTGACAATATTTACCATAATTTACAAGCAGAAAGTCTAGAAGAGAGGTAGGCAGATCTCAATATATTTCTTGCATAAAGAAAATACTATACTTACTTTGTGAAAGAAATTTGTTCTCCCAACAGATCCAATCTTCCCAGTCTGATTCATGAAAGAAATGTTTCCTTCAGTAGCTCCATAAAGCTCACATATCTTAATATTTCCAAATCTGTCTAAAAATTCCCTCCACACATCACTCCGTATGCCGTTTCCAACTGCCAAACGCACTTGATGATCCTTTTCTCCTTCTCTCTGTTAAAGGAAAAGATTTGACTTGTGATCGACTCATTCCAGCTCTCTGTTCTCTTATTATTATTACTTAAATGGAAATATCCAGAAGTTAGTTGCACATATGCAATAATGGAAGTAAAAACAAATCATGTTTAACTCTTGCAGAACCATGTCCAATAGCTAATGAAATTAACACTGGCCTAGAGTAATATAGCTTTTATTATCTGTTGAAAGCTCTGCCTACACTCTAGATTATGAAAGCCTTAATTTGGTAGAGATTAGGTAAGGAGGAAAGCATATTTCAGGAAAAAAGCAATATTTGAAAAGAATTATAAAATGTACTTGAGTTCACACTGTCAGGTCTACTACCTACTATCTATATAACTTGGGACCACAGGTTGAATACCGTTATGATTCTCATTTTATTCACCCGCTGAGAACTGAGAACACCTATCTCACATATATGCTGCAGTATCCGAGTAAACCCAGCACTTAGGAGATGGGAAACAATAAAGTGAGGTCATCTAATCACTGTAATATCTGACAGTGCAAATATTATGGCAACTACTAAGTAAATTTGCCAATTTACTATGGTAAATATTATTTTTGAATGCATAATATTTTCATATTTTACTTCTAATTCATATTTTATTTATGTATTTTTATTAAAATTAAAAAAATGTTTTATTTATATTTAAGAGACAGAGACAGTGGGTGAGCTGGGAAAGGGCAGAGAGAGATGGAGACAGAATCTGAAACAGGGTCCAGGCTCTGAGCTGTCAGCACAGAGCCCGATGTGGGGTTCGAACCTATGAACCGTGAGATCATGACCTCAGCCAAAGTTGGATGCTTAACTGACTGAGCCACCCAGGTGCCCCTAATTCATATTTTAGAATTGAAAGAGAAAATAAAACTGTATTTTCTTCTGCATTTAATACAATAACGTTAAGTAACATCTATGAGAATGGCTATTTTTATAATGACAAGGAATAACAGGTGTTGGCGAGGATGTAGAGAAAAGGAAACCTTTGTGTACTGTGGGTGGGAATGTGCATTGATACAGCCGCTATGGAAAACAGAATGGAGATTTCTCTAAAAATTAAAAATAAAACTCCCCTAAGATCCCATATGATTCTACATTGGGGTATTTATGTAAAGGAAATAAAAATGCTAACTGAAAAAGATATGCACTCCCATATTCACTGCAGCATTATTTACAGTACCCAAGACCCAAAAACAACCTAAGGGCCTACTGACAGATGAATGGATAAAGAAATTGTGGTACACACACACACACACACACAAACACACACACACACACAGGAATATTATTCATCCAAGAAAAGGGAAATATTGCCATTTGCAACAAGGTAGATGGACCTTGAGGGCATTATACTTAGCAAAGTAAGTCAGAAGGAGAAAGGCAAAGATCATGTGATCTCACTTATATGAGAAATCTAAAAACAAAAGCAAAACCCCAAAATCCCTCTAAACCCCAAAGCTCATACATATAGAGAACAGAAACGGGAAGTAGGGGAAGGTGAAATGGGTGAAGGGGATTTAAGGGTACAAACTTCCAGATATTAAACAGTCAAGGGAATGTAAAGTTCAGCATGGTGGGTGCAGTTAATAATGCTGTGCTGAATATTTCAAAGTTGTTAAGGGGGTAAATCTCAAAGTTTCCTTCACAAGAAAAATAAATTTATAACTACATGTGATGTTGGATATTAACTAGACATATTTTTGTGATCACACTGCAAAATACATGACTACTAAATCATTATGTTGTACATCTAAAACTTACATAATGTTGAATGTCAGTTACACCTTACCAAAAAAATTAGAGTCAGAATATACTATCAATGTAGTTATGGTAAATCTATGATTTCCTCTGAGCTACCTCTATCCTCACAAAAGTAATACAAACTTAACAAGAAATAATGATACATTAATGGCAGTAATGAAATAGAGAAACCAATGTCCCTGACTCTATAATTAAAAATGATCGATTGATCACATTCTTTATATCAGGTCCTTCTCAGCCTTAAAGGAACAATTTTAATCAATTAATTCTCAAGAACAAAGATAATGTGAGTGAAAGCTCATTCTGGAAACTGGAAAGTAAATAGATAACAGCCATGGACTAAGCAGAGGGGGGAAGGCTGATATCAACATCCACAGGCGGGACACAACAAGCGCTCTGAGGTGTTGTGGAAGCATCCTTCAAAAAGAATGAGGAAGGCAGAAGGCTGCATCGAAACTGTTTGAGAAGCAGCCATACCCACAGATATGTCAACACAGATGATGCACTGGGGCATCTGCCTTTGCTACACATTAGCCAAATACTGGAGATTTACTCTGTGAAGTCTGTCTCCAGACAGACAGCAGTCTGGGCTGAGGGATCTACTGAAAATAGTAGCATTAAATAAAAGGTGAGATCATTCAACTCTTCTGCTCTGATCCCAAAGCAAAACTAATCTACAGTGATAGAAATCAGAATATTGTTGGCGTTTGGTGGGACAATGATTGATTCTTGAAGACACTCAGGGGGATGGTCTTCATGAGAGAAATAAGATTGCTTGAAAACACTTGAAGTGTTAAACCATAATGAGAAATTTCAGCTTCAATGGAGAGTTTGAGATGAATTAGTATTTCTTTCTTTTTCTTTTTTTTTTACAAATAGTTTATTGTCAAACTGGTTTCCATATAATACCCAGTGCTCATTCCCACAAGTGCCCTCCTCCATGCCCATCTCCCCCCTCCCCCCCCACATCCATCAGTCCTCAGTTTGTTTCTCGGCATTCAAGAGTCTCTCATGGTTTGCCTCTCTCCCTCTCCCTCACCATTTCCCCCCTTCTTCTCTCCAATGGTCCTCAGTTAAGTTCCTCTTAATCATGGTCCATCCATGTTGCTACACATGGCCAGATTTCATTGTTTCTCATCGCCATGTAGTATTCCATGGTATAGATAAACCACATCTTCTTGATCCATTCGTCCGTTGATGGACACTTAGGCTCTTTCCATGTTTTAGCTATTGTGGAGAGTGCTGCTATGAACATTGGGGTCCATGTGCTCCTATGCCTCAGCATTTCTGTATCCCTTGGGTAAATTCCTAGCAGTGCTATTGCTGGGTCATAGGGGAGTTCTAGTGTTATTTTCCTGAGGAAACTCCACACTGTTTTCCAGAGGGGCTGCACCAGTTTGCATTCTCACCAACAGTGTAGGAGGGTGCCCATTTCTCCACATCCTCGCCAGCATCTCGAGTTCTCTGATTTGCTCATTTTAGCCACTCTGACTGGCGTGAGGTCGTATTTCAGTACTAATTCATTTAGATCCTAATTCATTAGACATTTAGAAAGCCAAATGCTTTCTTAAAAAGGCAACTATTAGAAACAAAATGTTGCAAAAGTCAAATGTAATTATATTTTAAACACATGACCTGCCTCAGCTATGAATAAAATTTACATATTATAATTTCTCTATAATAAAAAACTGATGATCAACATAGTTTAAAACGATCACAGTTACATTGGTACCAAAGAGGTAGAAGAAATATATGTATGTAAATATGTGAGTAGGAAGTCAGGTAGGTGACAATTAAAACTGAAAAACCAAGGGGTACCTGGTTGGCTCGGGTGGTTAATTGTCTGACTCTTGATATTAACCTGTGGGATTGAGACCCGTGCTGGGCTCCGTGCTGGGCTCCATGCTGACCCTGGAGCCTGCCTGGCACTCTCTCACTCTCCTTCTCTCTCTGCCCCTCCTCATTCCTCACTCTCTCTCTTTCAAAATAAACTTTAAAAAAAGGAAGAAAAAAGCCCTGAAAAATCAATAGTAATATATGTATTTCATTGAGAAATAGGTGACTGTGTAAGCACCAAAAATATCTTAAAATAATTAAGAATGTTTACCTCTAGAGGTCAGGCATTGATAGCAGGGGGTTACTGTTTATCTTGAGAGCTATTTGACTTTTTAAAACTATAGAAGTCCTTATTTTTTTATAAAATAAAAATTAAAGAAACCAAATAAGAGACAAACAAGAGTGTGGACACATCAAAAATAAGACTCTGACTTGCCGATTTCCTTAGTCCCACATAAATAGGGCTTAAGGTAAACATTTTGCAGACAGAGAAAAAAACTCACTCAGACAAGAAGAGCTCCTTCTTAGGTAGAGGATTCTTTTCAACCACTAAATATAACCCTGAGCAGTTTTGTACTGGTTCCCAGCTCCTATGGACATGTTGTATACTGCCTACCTGGCATGGAATTAGCTCTTGGATTTTCCACTGCCATTTTTCTAGACAAAACAGTAGTGCTGCAAATCTTAGGATTTATTCTGCTTGAACAGAGAACAATCGTGTATATGGTACAACTCTTGGATGCTTTTCAGGTCAGAGATGAGTTTCAGCAAGTATCATTACTTCTGAAATATGCTGGCACGCTCCACGAAACAGTAAGACGGTGGTTTACAAACCAAATTTCATACACTTTAACCTGTGTGGGCCACACTCATAGAAGTTTATTAAATAAGGACATTCATTCAAAATGATTCAATTGGTAGAAAAAAATCAAATTATTAAAACTAGGATAAGGCTTTTGTCTGAAAAGATCAAATCCCCTTATCCAACTCTCAGGGTATCTTTATTCTACTCTCTTGCAGTGCTGGGGTGGTTCATTTAGTTAAGTGCCTGACTTCGACTCAGGTCATGGTCTCATGATTCATGGGTTTGAGCCCCATGTTGGGCTCTGTGCTGACAGCTCGGAGCCTGGAGCCTGCTTAGGATTCCCTGTGTCTCCCTCTCTCTGCCCTTCCCCCACTCATGCTCTCTCCCTTTCTCTCTCTCTCCAAAATAAATAAACAGAAAAAAAGGTAACTTTAGTCTATGGTCTTCCCTTTTAAAACCCAGAAGATCATGTTTTGAGGGGTCTATGACAGAAAACCTGATTCATTATTTATTATTATGGGAAAAAAGGAAAGGTGTATTTCTTCTGATTTTGAAATATATACACATCATAGAAAA